CTCTCCTCGTCCAGTCCCCCTTCCCGAGCCGCCGCCGGCGGCTTCGCTCCTCCCTACCGAGCCGGCGAGCCTCCGAGTCCGTCGACCCGTCCTTCAAGCAGTCAAGCTTCACTCCATCAGGTAAAAATTTTTAACTAAATAATTTTAGGGTTTTTTTTTTGGATAGAAATTTGGGGTTTTTATGTTTTGCAATGAAATTAAGATTTTGATTTTGAATCTTGGTTGAATCTTAGTTGTTGAAGAATTAAATTAGGGGTAATCTTGGTTGAATCTTAGTTGAAGAATTAAATTAGGGGTTATGATATTTTGGAATGATATTGTTTGTTTTAATAATAATGATATTGCTTTAATAATAATGAAATTGGGGTTTGTTTTAATAATAATGATTTTGCAATGAAATAATGTTTGTTTTAATAATAATGATATTGTTTTAATAATAATGAAATTGGGGTTTGTTTTAATAATAATGATTTTGCAATTGAGCTTTGATCTTCATTGCATATTTGGTTTATGCTTTCTACAAAGCTCGGTATCATGTCCAATCAATTTAAATGTGCACAACATTGAGGTTTAAATTCATGAAGAACACGTTGAGAATATATGCTACCAGTTAGACCTTGAATTTTAATATAACTAGGTAATTGAGCAGTCATCTCCACCTCTATCAAGACTCTGTCCTTGATTGATATAATGTTTGTTTTGCAATGAAATAATGTTTGTTTTAATAATAATGATATTGCTAATTGGGAAATTGGGAAGATAAGAGCCGGGTCTGTCCTTCATTGATATTGCTAAGTTTAGTTTATTGTGATTTCATATATGTTATATAATTATATTTACAGACTACAATACACTATGACGGGAGATGACAAAAACCGAGCAAGGATTAGAAAACAAAACTCTGGAGCTCATAATAGAAGAGTCAAGCAACGTCAAGATGAAATGGCAAAATCACTACATGGCTCAATTTCTAAGCTATTCAAAGCAAAAACACAACATTCTCTTCTCTTGAATCAAGTTGAAGAAGCTAGTGCCACTACCAATATTAGTGAAAATATGGATGAGGTCATTGAGGAGCCCATAAATGAAGTCACTTATGCGGATGGAAGTCGTAAGGAGGAAGCTAGTGATGAAGATCATGAAGATCCTGTGAATGAAAATGTTCATGAAAGCATACTTGATCTTGAGAAAGATGTGGAAGTAAATTATGATCCGGGATTGTGGGGAAGTATAAATGATACTAAGAGGGTGATGATAGTTCAACGTGGTCCTATCAAGATTTTAATGAAAAATGATGAGTTTCCAAGTGAAAAGAAGAGTGGGAGAAATAGAAGTTTTTCTTCCAAATATTATATCCGTGAATTTCCAAATGGCGAGAAGCATGAAAGGAAATGGCTTGTCTATTCAAATGAACTGAATAGAGTATTTTGTTTTTGTTGCAAGTTGTTCAAGAATAAACCAATGACAACCAATTTGGCGGAGAATGGAATAGACGATTGGCATAACCTTCCTACAAAGCTTAGAGAGCATGAAAGTAATCCGGAGCATTGTGCAAATGTTGTGAAGTGGGTTGACTTGCAAAAAGGACTAAAACTAAAGGCAACAATTGATAAAGATATAGAAGCACAAATTGAAAAAGAGAAAACTCGTTGGAAGATGATACTAGTTCGAATCATTGCGGTTGTGAAGACTCTTTCTCGAAATGGTTTGCCATTTCGTGGAACTAATGAGAAGATTTATGAGAAGAACAACGGACTTTTTTGTCAACTTATAGAGTTCCTTGCAGAATTCGATCCAATTATGCAAGATCATGTTCGGCGTGTGGTAGATAAAGAAGTTCAGAACCATTATCTTAGCCATAAAATTCAAAATGAATTGATAATTTTGTTGGCCAATGAAATCAAAGCAAAAATTCTTGACAAAATTTCAAAAGCAAAGTATTTTTCAGTTATTCTTGATTGTACGCCGGATTTAAGCCACGAGGAGCAAATGTCAATTGTCATTAGATGTGTGGATATTGAAGATACAAATCAAGTCAAGGTGGAAGAGTTTTTTCTTGGATTTATAAAGGTTGATGACACGTCGGGACTTGGGCTTTTCAATCAACTTGAAGATACTTTGAATGAACTTAATCTCAACATTGATGATATAAGAGGTCAAGGTTATGACAATGGGTCAAATATGAAAGGTAAACATCAAGGTGTACAAAGAAGACTTCTTGACATAAATCCTCGAGCTTTTTATACACCATGTGGGTGTCATAGCTTAAACCTTGCACTATGCGATATGGCAAAATCATGTGTCAAAGCTAGAAATTTTTTTGCATATGTGCAAAAGGTTTACACTTTGTTTGCTGGATCAACACATCGGTGGGATGTTCTTAAAACATATGTAAAGGGTCTAACACCAAAGCCATTGTCGGTTACTCGTTGGGAAAGTCATGTTGAAAGTGTTAAAGCAATTCGATATCAAGCACCGGAGTTGCGAGACGCTTTGATTGAAATTGCAAATAGTTCTAAAGAGGACATTGTGATGGCAGAAGCTAAAGGCTTGTGTAAAAATGCTTTGGAGGATTTTGAGTTCTTGATTAGCTTGTGTATTTGGTATAAGATTTTAGATAAAGTCAATCGAGTTAGCAAAGTTAAAGTCAATCGAGTTAGCAAAGTTCTTCAACAAGAAGAGATGAATTTGGAGGATGCAATTACAAGAATAAACGAGCTTATTGTTTTCTTTCAAAAGTTTAGAGAAGATGGTTTTGAAAACATGATGAAAGAAGCCAATGAACTTGCTAATGATGTTGGTATCGATCCGACATTTCCGATAAAAAGAGTGGTTCGTAGAAAGAAGCATTTTGATGAGGATGTGGAAGCGAATGTGGAAGGTAGTCAATCACCGGAGGATAATTTTAGAGTTTCCTATTTCCTCCACATTATTGATCAAGCTCTTACATCACTCAAAGATCGTTTTGAACAATTCGAGCTCTATGAAGAAATCTTTGGTTTTTTGTTTAATGCAAAGTTCATGAGTATTGGTGAAGAAAAATTAATGGAACATTGCATTAAATTACAAAGATACTTGGAACACAACCAACAATGTGATATACATGGAAAAGATTTATTCAATGACCTACGAGCTTTGCAAACAATATTGCCGAAGGAAGTGACTAAATCAATAGACATCCTTGACTTCATAAGATCTTATTGGGATGATGGTGGCTTTCAATGTGCATGGGTTGCTTATCGGATTTTGTTAACTATCCCAGTTACGGTTGCCTCGGCGGAGAGAAGTTTTTCCAAGTTGAAATTGATAAAAAGTTATCTTCGTACTACCATGTCACAGGAACGATTGAATGGATTGGCAATGATATCAATTGAAAATGAATACTTAGAGAAACTTGAGTATGATGACTTAATTGAAGAATTCGCTTCAAAAAATTCAAGGAGAAGTATTTTTCTTTGATGAGAATTGTAGCACAAATATAATCTCTTCTTATATGAATATTGATTTTGCATGATAATATTATCAGTTTGAGCCCAATATAGAACGCTAAATTGTATTATATGTATTCATTTTTATCGTTATTGTTCGTACCAAATTTTTAATATAAAGGGCAACCAAAATTAGATTGGGCTAGGGCAACCCAAAGCCCGGGGCCGGCCCTGCGTGGACCCAGCCTAAAGTGGCATCCTATGCTGTCTCGTTGTCACGTGAACCCCATTGTTCTTTGTAGTTCCTCATACTTCAAAACCTCCATTATTTATGTCTTCATTCTACGTGGCAATCACTAGAAATTAATGGTATGGATTTTCCCTATAAATCTTTTCTTCATTTACTTTGAAACCAATTACTATTTTCAAAAGGACAATTTTTTGAAAACATCCATTTTTCAAATTTATATAGCAAAATCGATCATTTTTGAAAAAAATCAGCAAAACCGACCCTTTTCATCGGTTTTGCTACGAAAGAGTTTTTCAAACTGCACGGTGCATTTCGTTTTTCGAACTGCACGGGACTAGCAGTCCCGTGCATTTCTTTTTCTTTTCGAACTGCACTCAGCAGATAGTTTTGAAATGCACGGGACTGCTAGTCCCGTGCAGTTCGAAAAGAAAACAAAATGCACAGGACTGCTAGTCCCGTGTAGTTCGAAAAACACTTCCTCAGCAAAACCGATCATTTTCATCTGAAAATAGTCGGTTTTGCTAATTTTTTCAGAAATGGTCGATTTTGCTATATAAATTTGAAAATTAGATGTTTTAAAAAATTTGTCCTTTTCAAAATCATTTTTGAACCGAAGAAATCTCATTTAATTATGAGTTCCTAAACTCCCTCCATTTCAATACTTTCCTATACAACATTAAGAAAAAGATTAAAAGTTCCCAAATCCAAATATAGCAAACCACAAAAAATGAAGTGACTTTTGCAAACAAATTGTAGCAATTTATAGTAAAACATAGCAACTTACGAAATATAGAAAATTTCATTTTAGGACAAATTTTCAAACTGTATCCCTTTAGGAATTTATTTGCCATTTTCAACCCAGTTTTCACTACCTGGCTGAAATTGGGTTAAAAATGGCAAATAAAGTTCGAAAACTTCACGAGATTTGAAATTCCGTGAAGTTTAACGTGGTTAATCAGGCACTAAACTTCACGGAATTTTAAATACCGTGAAGTTTTTGAACTTCTGCAGCTTCATTATCACGGTTAATCAAACGCTAAACTTCACAGGATGTTAAATCCCATAAAGTTTTCAAACTTTATTTGCCATTTTCGACTTGGTTTTAGCCAGGTGGCTAAAACCGGGTCGAAAATAGCAAATAAACTCTGAAGGGGTTGATTTTTAAAAATAAATTTCTAAGAGGGGCTTTTTTATATTAAACTGTCGAAATACATCAACTGAGTTTAAACGTAAATCAGTGAATAGTTTTAGTTTAAAATTAAATTTAAAATCATGGTTTATTCGAAAAATGAGAATACAACTACGGTTCCTAAACAAAAGAACCCAACACCTAAGCACAGACAACTCCATTCAAAACCCATTATTTTCTCTTCAAAATACTTCAAAAATCACCATCAAAGAGATGAACTACTTTCTCCTCCTCCTCTTTCTCCACCTCCTCCTCCTCCCAACCTCAGAACCCGCCAGGTTCACCTGCACCAGCCCCTCAAAGTCCACGTGTCACTCCCTAATCGGCTACACAACCCCAAACGCCACAACCCTCCTCCGCATCAAATCCCTCTTCCAAATCAAATCCCTCCGTTCTCTCCTCGCCGCAACCCTATCCCTACACCATCGCCCCTCCACTCAGTCCGAGGGGCTCACTACCCCGGTCGCTTGCGGCTGCCGACTGCGTTAACCGAGGGTTATTGGGTCCGGACCGCCTGCGCGCGTGGACCCGTGTACAAAGTCAAAGCTGGCGATGGACTCGACTCCATCGCGCGTAATGTCTTTAACGGGTAGGACTGAATTTGTATTCAAAATAAACTTCTCACTGTGAAATTGCACGGATCTGCATAACGTATTTTTGGGCTCGCTTGGCGAATGTTGCAATTGTAAATGTAGAACTGATGAAACTCAAGTAATTGTTTGGATATCTCATTTTCAGAAGAAGTTTTCTAAACTATCCCATTCACTATTTTTTTTAAATCGATCCCCTTGAGTTTTTTTTTTTTACAAAAATCGACCTATTTTTTTTAATTCGGCTTCTAAATTATTGCAGTTGTCAACTCCGACTATTTAGTAAATAAAATGTTAGGATTTAGGGTTATAATTGGGGATTTGTAACTTCTTAAATAACCCCGACTATTTAGGAACCGAATTAAAAAAAAATTAGTCGGCTTTTGTAAAAAAAAATTAAGGTGTCGATTTTTAGAGAAAAAAAAAAGTGAATGAGTTTGTTTAGAAAGTTTCTTTCTCAATTTTATTATGGCAAATGCTCTTTTCCAAATTCAAATCCGGAGTTTGTACAGATTTTACCGCAAATTCTTTTTCCATCGCAATATTTGTCGATACATCTCTGTAGAAATAGAAATTTGGGTGCAACATTTGTTGCTGCCCGCTCTATTTCCTATCAATCTAACGGCGTTTTAAAGCTGGTTTGACGCACCAAAATGCAGCAAGTGATGTCGGTGTTTTTTTTTTCCTTGCCTTTTTCGAATTTTGCTACAATTACCATCTTAAATGGTCATTGATATAGATTTACAATGTCTTTTTAACAGGTTTGTTACTTACCAAGAGATTGCATCCGCTAGCAACATTACGGATCCGAACTTGATTGTGGTGGGCCAGGGGTTAGTGATCCCGCTGCCCTGCAGCTGTGATGACGCGGAGGGGGAAAGGGTCTTGCATTACGGACACGTGGCCGGCAAGGGTAGCTCGCTGGAGGGGATCGGGTCGGAGTTTGGTGTCTCGGGTGAGGTTTTGATGCGGGTAAATGGGTTGAAGGATCCGAAAGAGTTGCAAGCGGGTCAAGTTCTTGATGTGCCTTTGAGAGGTAATTTTTAGATTTTTAATTTTTTGAAAAGTAATCCCTTTTTTCGTGTTTATTGTTGGGGTCAGAATGTTTGCGAGCGTGGACGCTGTCTTGTCTGTATAGGCCGGGTGCTGTAGGGTCGGTTATTTTCTCTTTGCTTTCACAGTTAGCAAGCAAAAGGTGTTTTTTTTATTGTTATTTTGAAAAACGAATCTTTTTTGTTTTTCTGTTGGGTGGGTGATGAGCTCAAAAAGTGACATAAATAATGGGTCAGAATGTTGGTGAGTGTGGAAGCTGTCTTGTCCCTTATGGTGGGATATGGTTAAAAATTGGTTATTCTCATTCAGGACCGCTCAATTTGACTTATTGCCATATAGGTTTTATAGGGGGTTGGTTTATACTTCATGTACTAGTGGGCCTATTTGGCAACTTGAGTCAAACCTTTTTTTTTTGGGTGATACGGGAATCAAATTTAAGATCTAGGTACTCGTATTAGAACCTCTCAACCATTCAGACCATAGAGCTAGTTCTAGTTTAGATGGGAGTTGTCAAACTGATGATTATCCAATTTATTCAAAATGGGCTCTTATTTTTGACCTAAAATCCAATACACTTGGTGTCCGTATTTGTATCCATTTAAAATTTTCAAAATCGAGTACGAATTTGAATATCATTCTCCAAATTTCTTCGAATCCAAATTTGAGTTCAACTGCTAATACTTAAGTTCCTCGCCCTGGGTAGTCGGTTCTGCACCTGAAGTCTCCTCCGTTCTTCGGTCAGAATTAACATTGTCTCCCCCATCTGGAAGTTCTTCCAAATCTATGTACTCGGATGCGCCCGCATCCGTAGTGCTGCTCCCACTGCTTTGGCCCGCCTTGACATTATCTCTGTCCTTGTACATCACTTTCTCATTAAATATGACGTCTCGGCTTCTGATGATCTTCTTGTTCTTCTCATCCCAAAGACGATACCCGAACTCATCTATACCGTATCCAATGAATGTACACTTCAGTGACTTAGCTTCCAGCTTGTCTCTGACATGGTCACTGATGTGGTTATATGCCACGCACCCAAAGATTCTCAAGTGTGAGAGATTAACCTTCTTACCACTCAAAACCTCTTCCGGAATCCCAAAGTTTAATGGAACTGATGACCCGTGATTTATCAGGTACGTTGATGTATGCATCGCGTCCGTCCAAAAGGTTTTAGGTAGACCTGCATGTAGACGCATGCTCCTCGAACGCTCTGTCAGCGTTCTGTTCATTATTTCTGCTACGCCGTTCTGTTGCGGCGTCCCTGGAGTAGTTCTCTCCAAACAAATCTCGTTCAGAACACATAACTTCTTGAACTCCTCTAGTTCATATTTTCCATCATTGTCTGATCTCAGACACTTCATTTTTAGATTTGTTTCATTCTTCACCATGGTTTTCCACTTCTTGAAGATGTTAAACACCTCTGACTTGTGCTTCATGAAGTATACCCACACTTTCCTCGAGTGATCGTCGATAAAGATGACGTAGTACGCCGAACCGTTAAGAGAAGACACGCTAGTTGGACCCCATACATCTGTATGAACAAGCTCTAGCTTGTGAGCTTTAGGTGGTCTTCCACCCTTCAGAAAACTACCTCTCTTCTGTTTCCCGAAGATACAGTCTTCACAAACACCGACTTCCACTGAATCAATGCCGGTTAGCTTCCCTTCTGAGTGAAGAATCTTCATACATTTCTCACTCATGTGTCCCAGCCTATTGTGCTACAGATCTGCACTCTCTTTGCCTGCAGCAATCGCGAGGGTGTCACTCAGGTGTGAAGTTAGGTAGAGGGTACCGGTCTTGTTGCCTCGGGCAACCACCATTGTACCATCGGAGATTTTTCACGAATCTCCGGTGAATGTTGTAACATAGCCTTCCGTTCCAAGCTGACCTACCGAAATAAGACTCCTCTTCAACTTCGGTACATGTCTGACATTCTTCAGAGACCACTTAGAGCTCTTCAACTGTATTTGCACGTCGTCCCTTCCAATGATACTACAGGGTTCATTATCCCTCTAGTATATTTTTTCAAAGTCCCTTGCTACATAGTTCTGAAATAGCCTTCTATTAGCAGTGACGTGGAATGAGGCTCCCCAATCAATAACCCATGAATCGGAATCGCTATCCATATTGAGAATCAGCGCATCTTACACAATATGAGCCTCCTGCTTATTTTTCTTCGGTGCTTTATAGGTAGAAGACATGTGGCCTTCCTGGCCGGAGTTCCAACATTTCCCCTTGATAGGTCTCACATTCGAGTTCGACCTTTTCTTTTTCGACTTCGATCGATTCCTGTTTTGGTTCCCCCTATTATGGCTTTTGCCTCTCTGCTTGAGACTTAGGGCTGAATCTGAACTTTCTGATTCATTCGATTTTCTTCTAACCTCCTCGGATAGAATCATAGCTACTACCTCCTTCAACTTTAACTTCTAGTTGATTACGGTCACGTAACCTGCCCAACTATCCGGCAACTGCGATAGTATCAATAGGGTCTGTACTTCGTCATCAAACTTGATGTCGACTGAGATAAGTTGATCAACAATCGTGTTGAACTCACTGAGATACATCGTGAAGGAACATCTTTCTGCCATCTTGAGGTTGAATAGCGTCTTGACGAGATTTACCTTATTTGAAGCTGACGTTTGCTCGTACATCATTGCGAGCGTTTCCATAAGCCCCACCGTCGTCTTCTCCTTTAATATATTATGTGCTACAGTTTTTGCGAGGGCCAATCTGACCTGTCCCAGGGCTTTTCGATCTAATATTTCCTAGTTCTCGTCGGATTCTTCTTTCTTCTTTCCTCTTGCTTTACCCATCAACGGACGGTAAAAATCCTTCTGGTACAGATAGTCCTCCATCTGTGACTTTCAGTAGGCGAAGTCTAATCCGTCAAACTTCTCAATTTTTGATTTGTCTTCTTCTGTCATTTCTTACACACACAGATCTAAACAAGAGCTCTGATACCAGTTGTTAGGGAAATATCAAATACGCTCTGACACCCGTTCTGCGAAATTTACCCTACCGGATCTTGTGTTAAGCAATGAAAAAAAAGAAATCACAACAAATCAAAATTGCAAGAACAAAGAACACCGAGTTTTAACGAGGTTCGGCAATTTGCCTACGTCCTCGGGAGCCACACAAATAATTTCCTTTATGTTAAAAGAAGATTACAAAGCTTGTAAAAGAGTAGATCTCAACTTGGAACTCTCAAAAGAGAACCAACAGAAAAACTATCTGTTGTTCTAAAAGACGCGAGTTTTTCAACTCGAAAAACTCCTCTCTCTCTCTCTTCAATAAATCGCTGCTACAGGAATCTCACAAAAATTGAACGAGATTTTCTTCTGAAAATCTCAAGCTCAATTAATGGCCGCCGCTGCTGAGAAGAAGAGGAACGAAACGGGGTTCTGCTTTTCTCGTGCTCTTGGGTTTAAATAAGAAAACCCTAGCCAGTTGGATCCAGCTGTTTTCCAACATCGCAGGCGAAAAGAAGAGGGGAAGGCGAACTTCAAACTCGCCTGCTCAGCCCCACTCGAAAGCTCACCTGCGGTCTTCGAGTTCGCCTACAGC